CCTGAAATGCCTCACATCGTGTACTGCAGCCGTGTTATTGTTGCTTTCATGGGTCGGTGTGTTCTGGTGTTGGGCGGACGGTCCTTCCTCTCAGCAGAAAGAACAGAGGAAAAACGTGCACACACATGTGAGCGTTCTCAAAGGGAGGGCGGCGGGCCTGCATTGTTTGCAACAGATGGGAGTCACAGGGGTGTGTGTGTGTGTGTGCGCGTGCGTGTGTGTGTGGCCTGCTGGAGTGTGTTCTTCCTCTGTCTGTCAACAAGTGAACTCCCCTTCATGTAGCACGTCAGGACATCGGCCAAGATCACAGAACACACCCCTCTGCTGTTTGCACATTCACTCTCCCTTTATCCGCCTGCTTATCTACTATCTTCATCTATGTGATCACTGACTACAGACCCCTGTTTTTTTTTTTGTTTTTTTTCAGGGGTTTTTTGTTTCTCCCGCCCTCTTTTTCATCCATGTCTGATAGCCTTTGCTTATTTTTTCTTCTTTTATCAGTTCAGTCTTTTTTTCCTTCTGTCTCTTGTTTTGAGCCCGTTGTAACAGGCTGGGCAGCTTTGATCTCACTCAGCTGTTTATCCGTCTTTACGTGGTTCAAGGACAGTGATCCGACAGCAGTTAATCTTCTTAATTGTCTCGCTGTCCGCTCTTGGCTCTGGTTTTACAAAAGAAACCGAAATGGTCAAGGTTAAAGATGTACTAAAACAAATTGAGTGATCTGATTAGTCGTAGAAATTTGCCCTTCTTTCCTTTCCTGCATTACAGTCCCTCAGTCTCTGTAGTCCCGCTTTATAATTTATCGCCGGGCTATACCAAACAGCCACAACATTAAAACCACTAACAGGTGAAATGAGTAATATAATTCATCCTGTTACAAAAAGCTGCCATTCTTCTGGATGTTACTTTGATATTCAATTCAATTCAATTTTATTTATATAGCGCCAAATCACAACAAAAGTCACCTCAAGGCGCTTCATAGATACAGAGCAAAACCCAACAATCATATGACCCCCTATGAGCAAGCACTTTGGCGACAGTGGGAAAGAAAAACTCCCTTTTAACAGGAAGAAACCTCCGGCAGAACCAGGCTCAGGGAGGGGCGGGGCCATCTGCTGCGACCGGGGCAGGATAAAGACATGCTGTGGAAGAGAGACAGAGGTTAATAACAGGTATGATTCAATGCAGAGAGGTCTATCTAGGATATCTGTGCAGCACTTCCAGCAGGACAGGGCATCCAGCCACACTGCAAACCTGCTCGTGAACCCGAGCTGACCTGACTTCAAACTCCCCAGATCAAACTGAACATCTGTGGGCTGCACCACAACAAGCCCGATCCACGTAGGGTCCAACCACTGGAAACAAAGCAGTGTCAGATACCCCCAATGACGTCCACACCCCAACAGGTTAGAGCTGTTTTGGTGGCAAAAGGGGAACCTGGACAATAGTTGGGCGTTGGTTTTAATTGTTTTGGCCGATCGCCGTTTGAACAAATACTTGATAAGAAATCAGGGATGCAGTTTGTTCTAAAACCACCAGTGGGTGCTGCTGCTGCACTTAGTTTCTGTTGGATTTTTGGTGGCCTTATAGTGAAATAATGTGACTGGGGTAAAAAAGACTTTGAGTATCTTGTAGAAATTCATTAACTTGATACAGTTTCCTCTGTTACTGTATATAGAAGGCGTTATGACTATAAAAAAATAAATTATGCATCATGCACTGTTACATGAGAGTGTGTTGACAGATAATGTGGAGGATGACTTTATGCAAGAACATAGTGTGCAGTGCTGTGACTGCTTTTATTTCAGCACAGCTAAGCTCTGCTGGACAACTCTTCAGTGCTCTGTCATTCACTGACAGTTATGATTGGGAAGGGCATTGGATTGATTTCACACATGGGGGGCAAGAAGAAAGAAGTAAACAAACAAAGCTTGCTGTCCTGTCATTTCTCAGATGGTAATCAAGCTGCTGACCATGTGGTCAAAAAGCCAATGTCTTGCCACCTACAGCTCTGCCACAGTATAATTTAAGAGGCTAAGGTAGTAATTTCTATATATATTTTTAGAATGTAGAAAAACAGTGGGGTGTTAAATGACGTCCAAAAACAAATTGATTTCCAGCAACATGTCAGCTGTGCTGTCCCATCAACATGTGTGCCAGACAGTGTAAAGTCTCACAGGACTGTTGATGTTGAAGTGCTGAATGTTAAGTTGCAGTTAGTTTGTGTTTGGTCCTTTTTTTTTTTTTTTTTTGTGCAAGTGTGACAGGATAAGCATTGCTGCTGGAGCTGTGTTTCATTAAAGCAAAGGCTTCTCAATGAGAGATTTGAGATGTCTGCTTCTATTAACTATGAAAAGATACTAAAATATTTAAAATCAATAAATAAATAGAATAAAAAAAGCAGGCAAAAACAAGGAGTCTTAATATTTAAATTCTCCACATTTGATGTTTCCCTGGCTTCTTTCTCGTAATGTGTTTGACTGGGACCAGCAGTGCAGGGGTTGGCACAATCTCTTTAGACCTAGAAGGTCCTGGGTTAGAATCCACTAGATGGCTGAAGTTTGTATCCCTGTAATCTGCACAGTCTGATTTACGCCTACAGTCCAGAGACATGCATATTAGCTAAATTGATGTTTCTAAATTGGCCGTAGGTGTAAATGTGAGCATGAATAGTTATGTCTCTCTGTGTTAACCCTGTCCATGGTGTACACTGGTTCTTGCCCCCGTGACAGCTGGGATAAACTTCAGCCCCCCCACCCTGAACTGCAAAGGTGGAAGTAGATGTATGTACTGGATGGCAATGAGCGACGAGGGATTATCATAATCCGTGACTTCACTGGACTGTGTGATGGGGCTTTAGCTGTCCTCTAAGTGGCCAAAACTCAATAACACAAAATCTTAATTAAAATGTGTCTAAAACTTACAAACTTTTGAAAACTCTGTGTCATTGGTAATAATTCACTGACCACTAAACCATCCAACTCTAATTAAATGCTATCATTTAATGAATGAAAGCACCATTAACTGATGCAATTATAAACTCAACTAGGACTCGTGCTGATGACAGGTGGTCCTCTTGAAGAGCAGTTTTTAATCTGAAAGTGTGAATTGAAGCCATGCGTACTATATAACTTCTTGTTGTGTCAGGCTTTGCATCCTTGTGTGTCTCCGTGTGTTTTTCGTTTCGTCTGTAACCTCGTATCCTTTAGCGAATGTCTGTGTAGGTGGTGGCCTGCAAGAAGTACTGGGCCACTAGTCCTCTGTGCCAAAGGGTGAGTATGCATGACTGTTTCTGTGTGTGGGTGGGTTTGTGTATTTACACACCATGTGAGAAAATTGTGAAGATGTGCGCGAGAGGGTGGAGAAGGAAAAGGTGGTTATTGGTGGATGTTTGTGTATATGAATGTGGTGAACTTGATAGTTTAAATGACGTGTATTTATGTTTTGAGGAAATTGTGGGCTGGGATTTTTCTGAGTGTTTTTGTTTATCTCTGATGGGAAATGATGGGTTTGAGTGCACACGTGGGTAGGCTCAAGTAGTATGGAGGATTGTGTGTGCGTTTGTGTGTGCGCGCATGTGCATGAAAAACCTGCAGAAAGGGATAAAGAGTCATGGGGCTAACATGGTCATTGATGAGCAGTGAGAACTTAATGAGGCAGCTTTTACTTCCTGGCCCCTGTGTTCTTTCTCCCTTTTGTAAAGTGTGAAGAGGGAGTGGGGTCTGTTTAAAGCCACTTCCTGTCACTAACCAAGCATGTTGTTTTTGTTTTTGTATTTCTGCACATAAGAGGTAAAATGTCAGTCAAATTCAATGTACTGATCGAGCACCAAAACTGCAGTTCCTGGAATGACCACCAGAGGCTGTCCCCATAGACTACCATGTTAAAATGACCAACTTTAAAGTAGAAACAAACATGACCCTGAGACTGGTTGGCGCCTCACTCGCAATCGCATGTCGCTATTTAATCATTTAATGAAATTAGTCATTCCTTCATTCATTATTGCAGTGATGTCTTGTGCCATTTCACACTCCTAGTGTTAGTCAGGTTGCAGCTGATGGTGCGTGGCATAACAAGCAGATACTGTTTTAGAGCAGCGTGATCACGGTTAGGATTGCAAAGAGGCATGTTGTACTGCTCTGAAAACTTCTTTGCAATTGCTTTAGTTGTGAGCAGGTTGCCATGGTAGCTCTGTAGATTGCATGGAAGACACAGCTTGTCTGCAAGCACTTGCCAAGTTGTCGCTGAGGGGTGGCAAAACTGAGAACTGCAATGCAAACTGGAAAGGCAGTCTGCTTGCCTTCAAAGTAAAAGTTTTGTGCCTTATGGCTACAACCAACGTATTTCATAAGGAGCAACTTTTACTTTGAAGGCAAACTGTCTACCACTTGTAAGTAAGGTTTGCACTTGTTTAGACAAGATGATATTTTCTATGCAAACCATGAAAGTGGCAACTCAACTTTTTTTTTCTTATTTACATTTTTAAATTTAAATATTTAGGAAAGCAGGTACCAAAGGAGTTGGTGCAAATTTCCCTTGAGAAAAGACTAGAAAAAATAAATTGCATGTGCCTATTTTTGATTTCCAGAGTGATTGAAAGTTGCATTTTTTGATGTCAGGAGAAATGTCAGTGAAGATTTACCTCAAAGGTAGGTAGGTAAAAGCAGGCGGCGTGGAGTTTATGAAATATTAAAATGGGCTTAATACAGAAATGCACAAGGAAAGCGTGCAGGAGAGAGGCGTAGAAGGTGGGAGGGAGGTGAAGTGCCATGGATGCTGTGGGGGGACGAGCAGGGAGGGGTGGGATCAAGGGATGAATGAAATTAAAAGTGGTGAGGCTTAGAGGGCTAAGGAGGGAGGGAGACATGGGATGAGAGAGAGGGAGAGGAGGCGCAAAAGAGATGGATAATAAGTGGACTATACCCCCTCCCCCTTTGCTCCCGTGGAGAGGTAGGGGCAGCCTGACCCCCCTCAGTTAAAAACCCCCCCCCAAAAAAAAAAACCTTTGTGAACCTTTCCCCGGCAGAGAGAACGGGAAGCAGACCGAGCGCAGAGCAGAGGAGAGGCAGTAAGGATCCAATTTAGAGCAGACACATAGAGGGAAAACAGCAAGCCGGACACTGAGGAAGAGGCAGAAAGAAGAAGCTGTATTTATGTCCAGGATGGTCATGGCTTTGCAGTGCTGGGCTACTCTTCTTCTTCTTGGATTAAACTTAAGGAAGCCCACTGGTCTGTAGCAGCAGCAGCAGCCCCAGCAGCAGCATCACTCCTGCCCGTCACCATGCCGTCTGTCTCTCTCAGCTTGCCCACAGCTCTGGCTGGACCTGCACGCACTTGGGTCTGCCTGTCTTGCATGTTCTGGGTGAGAAAAGTTTCCAGTCAGATATTTTTAGGAGTTCACAGGATGTCTGACAGCAGAAATTTTAGCACAATTTCTCTGCAGCTCTAATATGTCAGAGTGAAATCATGTGTATAAGTCAGTAGGGCTGACTCACGTGGGACATAGTGTGACGATACAGTGGGCATGATATTTTCTGTAAAAAAAGGTTTATGCTTCAGATTATTTGGGAGCCCTGCTCAGGGGATCTATTGGGTGGTCTGCTTTCGGGGGTTGGGTGGAGGGTTGGGACCCCGGCTGTGGGGGGCCTTGGCACGGTGACACATTTGAATGTGGGAGATATTATGAAGGAGAACGGGAGGGCGTGCAAACGCGAGACAAACCTCTGCACTGTCTGCTTCGTTTCAGTAACACGTTCTTGTGTTTTCTTTGCTCCGTGTGCACGCTGAAAACTTTTCTGCTCCGACTTTGAGTTGAATTAAATGCTCTCCTTTCTCACCCGTTCCCACTCCCTCACTCCCCCTGTGTCCCGCTCTGTTTCGCACTAGGTGGTTGGGACACACAGCTATTTTTTGCTTTCTCTTGTATAATTCAATCTGCCGCGCATTCCCGCTCACAGTGAGGGGTTGTTTGTGCACTTGTGTGCCCTCTGGTCAGTGTTTGTGCGTGTGTGAGTGTCCATCCTAAATGTGCTGTGACTACGGTCTCGACATGTCTTAAAACACTGTGAGTGCTTTTCCTAATTTGTGCTGATATGAAAGAACATTCCTGTCTCAAATATACGACATTGCTTGCTGCTCTCCACGTTTTTTTTTTCAGCTGAATAGAGGATGAAAGAGGAGACTGGTTTGAATAGACCATTGAGATCCATCCTTCCCCATTCTGCAGTGGTCCTTTGGGACATGACTGCACACCACTGGCAGAGCTGCAGCTCTTGGCGTGAGGACTGGATAATCTTACAGAGCTCTTCATCAGTTAATTACCATTCTTTCTTTTGAGGAGCGGGGGGCGAGGTGAAGGGGGGG